TGGCAACATTAGAAATATTTAAAAAGTTTCAAACCTAAAGTGACAAACTAAAAGAATTTACATATTTAAATTTATAGAGCAATATTGACTTTTATACTAATTAATAAATTAAAATTATGTCAATGTTACCAAGCATGCGTATTAAAGATAATTTCATGTAAGCGAAGTAGCCTCGAAACAGGATATCATTCAAGAAAAGTTTGGTTCTTGTTAAGAGTAAGAGTACGTCAAGTAGGTACGACTTGAAGAAAAAAACACTCGATAAACAGACTGACACAGCACAGCACCAAGAAAAACAATACAAATACTTGGTAGAACTAGAATATGACAAGATTAAACAAAAGAAGGGAAAATACTCTAATGATGACAACGATGACGTATCAACAAGATCTCATCTGCGTATGAGGCAATTATTCCCGAGCATGCGCATTAGAAATAACACTAATGTTAAATTTTTTCTTCATTTAAATTTAGGAATATTCTTTTATATCGTTTTTTGTAAGTTTTAAGCACATTAGTGCATCTATTTTACGAAACACGTGTTGGTTGTTCTTAAATTCTTCTAAATCCTTGTAAAAATAAGTTAATTTGAAGTTGTTCATTTCTATAGTATGTATACAGCTTAGGTAAGCTGTGGTATGTATGTAAATAGTAAACAGGGGTCAGATAATTTCAACGATGACAATTTGTTGCGGGTTGCCTAAATATGTGACGTCACACTAAGAGAGTCTAACGATAACAAAGATAAAAAGCACCTGTCTTTGTCTGCAGGGTAATTTTTAAGTTGGTTATACAATTTTAATCATGTGTTCTATTAACTAAAATAGGCAACTTTATCATATAATTTATTTGAAAATTCCTAAAACTGAGACAGAAAAGAGAATAAAATTTAATATGATTACAATAATTGGACCCCAATAGGTTTCCGTTCCGTGCTAACCTAACGTTTTTCGTTTGTTGTTGACGTTTTTTTTTTGACTTGTTAGTAATTATATCGCCATCCCAACCAGCAAAACAGTTTTATAATTTTCAGGTTATACGACAATTATGTTTTATTGCTTTCGAAATGTAAATTTGTTTTATTATAGCGGCAAGTACCATTATTTTGTTGTCAGCCACTGAAATATTTTATAAATTTATCACAAGAACGTTTTAGCAGCTAAATTATAAAACAGCTTATATGGCAAATATATAACTATTTTATAAACATTTCTGTGACAAGCTTATAAAACATTTTAGTTAATAAAACTAAAGTATGTTATAACAATTTTTTAGTAATGTTCCACAGTATTTCTAACCGAGCTATAAATAAATAATATGATTGTTTCTTAGATGTGGTTCATCAACCTATAAAACTATTATATTAAAAGGTACTACTTTGAGACAATTTCTCTTGTAAGAGCAAATAGCTATATTATACACTATAATATAGATATTATGTAATGATATTATCGATTTTAATACAAAATACTAATATAATAATTACAAGAGAAAAACGTTTAGTTTGACTCAAAATTCCATTGACAAACCATTCTATAAAACAAATTTGAAACAGCAAAATGGTGGGATATTGTTTTGTTTGTGTCATAGGGAATGGTAAAAGTCTAGTTTTATCTTTTGCTTCAGCTTTCACAGTCGTTGTATAAAAATAAACATGTCAGGTTTAAGCCAGTGGAAAAATCAAAATAAGTGGCGTATTTAGAAGAAAAGTAAAGAAATGTTCTAGAAATAATTCTACAATGAAACATTTTAAATGACAAGGAAAGAAATTTATTTTTTTACTTGCCTGGCAGCCTCTGTGTATAGTGTTTGATACTAGACAATTTAAATAATAAATAATAAATAGTTTTCTGGTGGCCAGTTCGTTTACAGAGAAGCAAATGCTTTAATTTTTTTCCTCTACATTAAAAATTGTATAATTTGTTTTGTTATTTTTTATTGCTAAACCATAAAATTTACATAATTTAAAATTAATTAATTTCCATTTTTAAGCAGGTATTTATTAATAATATTGGGGAACTAATTACTCTGCTGCCAGACGCCTCGACCAGTGTTGAATTACATTCTCAATATTTTACGCGTATATTATTTTTTATTAGTTTTATATAGTTTTTTTTTTTTACTTTTTTGTATAGGTATATTATAAAGTAGTGCTGGCAACTGAAATCAGTTTTTTGGATAGTCGGTTAACCGGTTTCGGATAATTCGGATTTTTACGAAACCCGAAAACCGGTTATTCGATTCTTCAAATATCTGATTATTCAAATAACCAATTATTCAAATAACCGATTATACGATAATCTATTCAAACATCCGAATAATCGGATTCTTTCTTTATAGCCAATACCTATATAACACCATAATTTAGTCTTAGTGTTATGTAGTTATTGACACAGGCTACATAGAACGTACATATTAGAAGGGTTGAACTATTAAGAGAAATACAATTTATTTTTATATTTTATGCTAGGACACAGACACAGACTGATAAAAAAAACAGTCACCCACACCCACATACACCAAACGACTAAATCTATTTATATAAATAATAAATTGAAGAATCACAGTAACAAGTGGAACTGTTTTAACTGTTTTAACATTTTAACTACATTAGATTTAACTTTAAAATTGTGAATATGTGAATAACATCGTATATCTCGTCAGTTTTACAAAGCCCCGATTTTCAGATATTTTGGTCATTATTCGAGTAACGGGTTATTCGAATAACCGGTTTTAGAATATCCGGTATTAGCAACTATTAGACAAACTGGTTTTATCTGAAATCGGTTTTTACGGAAACCGGTTAACCGGTTTCACTTTTTTCCGGTTTTTGCCAGCACTATTATAAAGGTATGATTTTGTGTGCCTATTAATTTCTTGGTGAAATTTTATAATTTTTGTTTGATTCCATGAAAAACGGCTCAGACACAACTACATATTTAGTTTCAAAGTTATCATAATACCTATCATTTTTCTCAGGAAGAATAGTGAAATTAAAAAAAAAAGAAATGATAGGGTGTTCCGTTAAAAAAATGCAAATTTGACAATGTGATGTTTCTAAGAGAATGGGAATTATGACTTTTACCTCGAAAATAAAAGAAATCCTACTTTATCTCACCCCTTTCATTGAAATGTTTTGGAAATATGAAAAAACCTAATTGCTTTCATATATTATTTCCATTACGGACCTGTCGTAATAAATTTTTCATAGAAGCCAACATAATTTCCAGCGTTTTATAGAAATCGCTCAATTAGCTTACTTGTCATTTAAAGCTGGTTTTTACAACCAAATTATTTTATAAGCCGCAGCCATTTTGAACAATGATGAAAAACATTGTGGCGTATAATAAAAATAAAAAATAAAAATTTATATAAATATTTTCTATATTTTTAAGGTTTCATTAACAAACAGAGACTAAAGGCACTTCAAACAAATGATAAACTCATCTTACCAAAATGTTTACAAATCCAAAAAAAAAAATAATTCTTAGCACTCTTCGCAGTAAAGTAAGTCAAGTGAGAACAAAATTATGAGAAAGTCATAGATGTACGATCCGTACGATATTTGTTGAGATAGAAATCCAAGAAGGCCCCTGCGTCACTTTCTTATAAGTAACGGCATTCGACACCCGAAGTAGAAAGACATTGGCGGCATGGCGTTCATCGTATGTGTTCTACCTCGGGTGTCGAATGCGGTTAATTCCAAGAAAATGGCGTAGAGGTCTTTTTGGAATTCTGTCTCAACAAATACCGTACGGACTATAACAATTTCCAAAATATAAAGATATTTTCAGTATTCGAAATTTTTTAGTGATTTTTGAAAGACAATGTTAAATTGTGGGAAAAGTCAAGAAAAATAATTCTGTTTCATTCTGATAATGATTACGAAATGATCATTTGAAGCAATAAACGTTCTAAAATTCTAAAAATTTTATTTTTTGGGACAGAAAAACGGTTCGATAGATCGACCTGTCAATTTACAGGATTTTTGTGGCTATATTGAGGTGTAAAAATTTCTCTCAACATTAGTATTTTCATCAATATTTGTAAATTAGCGGTAGATTTACTAAAAAACCGAAAAAAGTCATTTATTGCACATTTTTCAAATTAGTGTTAAGGATGAAAAAAAAAATCTTCAAAAACATTGAAAGATCCTTGTTATTTATGTTTTTAACACCGCTCTTAAATGCAGCTATTAGTTACTGAAATATTGATGATCAAAGACAAAAGGATCATTTTTCATTCAAAGCCGGATACCTTAACAAAAAATTGACATGCAGAGGCCAAAAAAACAAACTAAAGCTGAATAATCAAGCTAATTGACTTATACATCAGTCTAGGTGAAAAAAAATTTCTGAGCCCGTGGACCCTTAAATATAAAAAAAAATTGAAAAAATGTTTTCTCACGCTAATTCCTATGATTGCGCATTAACCGGAGATTAAAAAAATTTTTTGTCAAAAGATCTAGAACTTGAAGCTTCAACTGCTTATTTATTTCGATACAACCATATTTCACTAAAAAATATTCAAATTTTTTTTGTTCGTTTAATTTTTTCCATTAGTGTATAAAAAACGACACACAATTTTCATAAAATAGGACCAATTAAACAAATTACAGACTGCCAGGTAATAAGTGTACAAAGGAAGTATTTACAAATTTTCTTAAAAAATATTTATACCTATACGTTTAAAAGTAGACATCCTGTCTATATCTACATTTAGAACAAACACTTGTTGAATTTATATTTCGATAATATTTTTTCTGGGTATGATTTGAAAATGTTACGCTTTGCTACCACATTGTTTAATTACAGACTTTTAAAAAACATTAGGAATATTTTTTAACGGAATATACGGATATATATTTTATAAACATTAATTGTTCCACTGTTTAAAAATAATAACTACATAATATTTTCATTGACTAGTTTAATGAATAAAAATATAAAATATAAGTTTATCTATATTAGTACATACATTAAGTATAAAAAGGTACTTACGATTTGACTACTTCAGCAAGCAATAACGGTATCTGCCTTGGCTAGATAATGTTTCACGCGCAGTTGTCGACAAAATAATGATATCTAGATACCAAGATATCTGAATTTAAAAGGATTTACGTAGATTCCTGGAATTTGATAAGTTACGTATAATACTTGCTGAACCAATCTGCAAGATTATAAATAGATATAGATAATTCTGAACATAACCGGTTTTTCTAGACTGTAAAACACCAGTCCCCGTTGTGAAATAATACATTATAAATAAGGTATAAGCATAGAAAACTTTTGTTCTGCTAATAGAAATATATCTGCAAGTGTATGTATGTGAGTGACAATGAGCTTAAACTTAAATTTTATTAGAAAATTAAAATCAACACTCGTAAATATGCCCAAATATTATTATGTTTAAAAATTAATCATTGCTTCTTTAGATAGAAAAAAATGGTAAAGTAAGATTATAGAGTAAGTAGGTATTTTTGGCTTTTTTCCAATTGGCATGAATTCAAATTTTATAAACTTATTAATGTATTTTCTTGCTTTGTCTCTAGTTGATTTGATTTAAGTAAAGCACATATGGCACCTTTACAAAATCTAGATAGTCATAAATAATATCTCTAACAAAAAAATATATTACGTATATGTACATGCCAAGTCAATGTTAGGTATACAATAATGCTAATATATTTACAAAGAAACAATTAATGCAAAAAATGGTAAAGTGGTACAAGTACAGATAAAGATCAAAGTTAAGTTTTAAAGTGAAGTATGTATACCTACAGGTTTTGAAGATGAAGATAGTGGAATTATTTTTTAATAACTAGTAAATATCTACTAAACATAACATTAAATAAAAACCTACCTTAAATAGTGAAAAATACAGAAATAAATAATAAAGTAAGCTTTTAAGCAATGTTAAACATTGTTGTGTAATATGTAGTATTCCTCACCATTCTGGAAATGGTGAGAAAGAGAGAAAGTTGGTCAAACCAGGAAAAAATTGCGTAAAATTTTCCTGAAACTTTTTTGTGGTGGGTGTGGATTTAATTTCTTTCCAATGCTCAAAATATTATTTTAGAATTTCTTCTCGAAGTATTTTCAAATCGTTGCTTTTCATTATAAAGCTTTACCTTATCCTCACTACTTCACCCTATTTTAGGGGGTAATTTAGAGTTTTAATAAAAAATAATGTGGTAAATCGGTTTAAACAAATACACAAAATCTATATGTTTTTCTGTGGGACTTCTGTGGTACATCTTATATATAAAATTCTCGTGTCACAATGTTCGTTCCCGTACTCCTCCGAAACGGCTTGACCGATTCTCATGAAATTTTGTGAGCATATTGAGTAGGTCTGAGAATCGGCCAACATCTATTTTTCATACCCCTAAATGTTAAGGGTGGTCCACCCCAAAATTTTTTTTTTATTTTTTGGACAAAATTTTCTGTTTTTATTTTTTCATGATTCAGCATTGAAAAATACATACAGTTCTAAATTTTCACCCTTATACGATCAACCCCTGATTTTTAATCGCGATTTTTATATTATTTTGTTCCATCCACAGTTCCACAAGATGGCAAAATAACGTTTGCCGGGTCAGCTAGTATTATATAATATTTGGAAGTTATATCAGGAAATGACGATTTAAAAAAATGTCTAAATAACCAAAATCCAAATAGATGGTACGTAGACGCTTATCACGTATATCCTCCATCTTCTCCAGATTTAAAACCAACTATTTTTTGGGATATTGAATCTACTAGCATTGAATACTGCTTACTATTATTTTTTATTGTTGATGTATTTACTCGGAAAGACTAAACTTTAAAAAAGTATAATTTCAAAAAATGTTATTTTAAATCCTATAACTGAAAAATTACTGAATCTAAAATATTTTTTTTTAATTTAGTAATAACCATAACTAATTTTTAAATAATTAAAAGTTAAATAAATAAAAAGCTGTTACCAACTTGCAGACAAATAAATTTGTCACATTACGTTTGTAGACATGTAGCAATCAAAATATTAGTTTCAAAGTATTATTTCCTATTTGCATTTTTGCTATAGATCTGTGTAAGTACATCGTATCTTACAGAACAAGTCACGGCTTGTTCAGTAGCTTTTAGTGGTAAGCAGATACCTAGTACGTACGCTCATAGATACAAGTAAACAAGTCCCTCGAAATGTTTACCAACATGTGTCACAGCGCGTACAAGGCCTATGATGAGTAATTAATGTACCTGGTTATTTTTATAACATTCTATCCCATTATTTATTTCACTTTTACTAAATAGTAAAGAGCAGATTATACGAAATTTTGTTGTAATTTCAAAACAGTAGGTACCTACTTAATTCGATTGCATTTTGAAGATATAAACCATACTAGTGTTTTTTAAGTGAAACACTGTATATTGTTGCAACAACGTAACTGGATGTCTAAAATCTAACGAAAAACAAATACAAATGTAAGTATTATTGCAATTAACAATTACCTAGATGATTGACTACACTACCCCTATTAACTTGTGGTAGATTTTATAACAGTTAATTTCGTCTTACATTTTCAGCTTCATGAGAGGAAAGTTGAGTTTTTTGAGACTATTCACTTTAATGTACAACAAAGAACTGCCCTTTTTCCAGATGGCACAGTCACATTTTTCCACCACGCGATTTTCCAAGTTCATTAAACTCATTTTGCAAAATTACAATTGCTGTGTTCAAAATTTATTGGTATTAAATGCTAATTTTGATGAGTAGTTACTAATAATTAGTAGATTGAAATTTATATTTATTCTCCAAAATAATAAAAATTGAAAGGATAGATAAACATATTTTAACTAAAACTTAAAGTTTAGTTTATCTTCAATTAGAATAATTATCATCATGTCTAAATATACAGTAATAACCTAAAAGTACAATGAATTGGAAAATTAACTTCCTAGATAATATCAACAATGGAATTCAAAGTAAAAAAAAGAAACAACACCTTATTATAACTCCAAAAGAATGTCCCTGCTCCATTGATACCGTCGTATTCCAATTGCCGAATGGATTTTAAATATTCACTCCACTTTCGAATCTATCCTGCGAAGTCGTCACCGGCCCATCTACGCGGCGCCAACCCCGACAAAACTAGATACCCATGTTCAAGAGAACCCAAACCACCCTCCGTAGGAAGCAAAAGGAACGAAACGGGAAGCGAAATTTTCGTCGACGTTTCAAATATTTCCCAAAAAATTCTTCACGAAGCTTCTAATCACGATAACCATAGCAGACGATTCCTGCGGGAGCTGACGCTAGCGGTAGGGCGTCCGCTAACGATACGAGGGACGCACAGAAAAACTGCCTCTGTTTAGTATTTAGGGAAATACCAAATTCGTCGAAACTAGTGGACTGAGGTAGGACAACGCGATTACAAACTACCATATCCAACTATAACTCAACAACTCGTCCGATACGAACAGAATCCAAAGATAGACAAAATATGGAGAGGCCAAATGTCCAGATCTAAGACAGAGACCGCTACAGAAACGGACTCATTATAGGAGTGTTCGAACGTCGACCCTGGTACCTTACAACTGATTAACCAGGGACTCATACCTAACCAGTCTAATACGCTTCAAAATATTTCTCATTGCATCGTATAAACCCCTTTACATACGATACACATGTATATTGTTAATACATTGTTATTAATAAACCAAATTTTTACAATTCAAAACATTATCAAAAGCATATTGTGAGCACATTGCTCCCGGCCAAGACCTCATATGTAGTGCACAAAACGCCCAAGAGTTACTGAGTCTGCGACGAAGATCCCACGGGATAGGTATATCAATCTCCAGGTATCTTTCGAATCAGGTACTTTAAAGAGACTACACAAACCATTCTCCAAGTACATTCCAAATCTAGGTACTCTTAGAAGACCTCATAAACAATGCATAGGCAAAGCAAAGCTTAAAAGGACAGTGATACAGACACTAGAGTACTCATACTCGAAGAAAAACATTTTAGTACAGCTAGGTTTAGTTGAAAGCCTCAAAAAACAGTGCCATATAAATTAACCCCATTAACATCCAGTTTTAAATGTACCATATCGTACAATTTCAAATTATAACAAAAACTTACATACATACATACATATTTCACTATTCTTAAATATTTAAATTGCCCTTACCTTGCTATTTTATGGAAGAAGGAAAGAAAAATCAATCAAGAAGAAAGACAGATTCCAGACTCAATCCCAAGAAGAGATAAATACCTATACAGGGTGGTCCCGAGGTAATGGGCCAAAATTCATGGGTAGATTCCCGAAGCAAATATATTGCGATTTAGCCGAACTTACCTTAGTCCAAAAGTTGATAGTTAAAGAGATACAGGTTGTTAAATGTAAAATTTTATTTTAGCTTATTTCTATTTATTTCTTAATAAATGCAAATATCTACACAAAATTTTGGGGTTCTTTGGATATAGGAATTGAAATTTGTTCACATTTTGGTTATAGTTCATAGAGGGCGCCAGCTGCCGTAGATTGAAGGTGTTGAAAACGACATAACTTTTTTGTACTTAAAGGTATCTCATCTTTGGTATCAAATTCTTATTTTCCCACTTTTTTTACACAAAAAAGGTATACTTTATGAAAGTAGCTGTCTCGCACCGTTTCCGAGATATTTGGCTTTGAAACTTCCAATGCTAATAGTTGAAATAATTAAAATAATTTAGAAATGTCAAAAACAAGGGTTTATTTAGAATTAAATATTGTAATGCACAGTAAAATAGTAAACATTAGTAAAAAATATGCCTTTTTGACAATAATTGTTCAAAATGTCCACCTCTAACTTCAATACATTTATAAACACGTTTATTAAAAGATTGTCTTATTTTAAAGTATAAATCCTTAATGCGAAATGACTGCAGCATTTAAAACCTGCTACTAAAGTTCTTCTCAAGTATTTATAGTTTCTCCATAACTGATTTCATGTAACTCCAAAAACGAAAACCTCGGCATTCTATCTCACATTTATATATACGAGTATACAATTTAATTTGTAAGCTAAGATGTAAT